GCACTTTGTGGTAATTTAGATGTCTTGTGGGTGACATTTGATTCATTTTCAGCACATGTAAAGAAGAGATGGATGCCTGTAAGAGTAAATGCTTGAATGATGGTCTGAAATTCAGAAGTAGGATATAAAAGTGGAAATGCTTATCACACCTAGACAGAAACATGCAAAACTGGAAGCTCATTAAAAGTTTTGTTCAATGAGGGTGTTTAAGAAAATGTGCAATCAGAAAAATTCTAAGGCATACATATAAATGAAAATCTTGGTTGGAATGACTATCTGTTTTAACTTGGAAAAAAAATTATCAGCAAACTGTCTCTTTTATCTAAATTAAAGCCATATCTAACATAGGAAACAAGGAAACTCTTTTATAATGTGCACATACTACCTCATTTGGACCACTTCTCCATTGTATGGAGCAGCTGCACAAAACTAGAAGACATACACAAACTTCAAAAATGTGGTGTAAGAATCATTTTAGATACACCAGAAAAGGAAGCCAAGAACCACCCATCAATTGAACTATTCAAGAACCTGAGCTGGCAAACAATTTATAAATAGATAGAATTCAAGAAAGCAACAGTAGTTTTTAAATCACTAAATGGACTTTTCACTAAAATCCATTAGGGACTTACTGGGTATTACAACCATAGACACTACAGGCCATGTCAAGTAATAAGGGAAATCTCTATTCACCAATTGGTAAACATAAAGACATACTATGTACAGGTCCTATACATAGACTTGAATTGACATATGGAACTGCATAAACTCTGACATTAAAAAACTTGGAGACTTTTACAAATGTTTAAAAAAATCGAAAGTAAATTTTATTTATATACTAAATAAGTTATATAGTTTTTAGATTTTTACTTATATATTGCTTTTTTGCTTTATTATTATTATTATTATTATTATTATTATTATTATTATTATTATTATTAATTTGACTCAATTTTACTTCATTGTTATTTAAATTTAAATAATGTACTTATTTTTTAAAATAACAAACAATATTATAATCTAACCCCTCAGCGGGCCATGTTTAAGACAAGTGTATACACTAATGGTAAGTGTAAGATAAGTGTATGTCATATTTACCTTCTTAATATAAACTTTAAGTTTATTTTGATTATTATTATCATTATTAATCATTTGAGTTGAATTATTGAAAGTGTTATCAGTGACTTATATAATTAGGAACCAACACTAGTCTTAAGACAGAAATGCTTCTTGTTATTTGGTCAAATTGTCTTTTTTTTTTTTTTTTTTTTCATTCACAAAGAAAAATGAATTATGAAAGTAATATTTGTGTGTGTTATAAAACAACATGCATTTTACCTTTTTTCAAATTTTCAGCATTTGATACATTTTTATTTTGGTTTTATTTCTTTGATTTTGTTTATATTTTTGCCGTTTTTTGTGCAGCCATATTAACTGCATTACTAAAGCTTGGAGTTATAAAATACTGTGCAGGATTTTTATGTCAAATGTACTTTTCTTTGAGAAAAAGAGAAAAAAATTTCTCCTACTCAACCCTTTCTTGCACTTGGATCGAATGTTTTACACTATTTGTAATTAAATAACTTAGTTACAGACTCATTTAGATTGCAATGATCTTCCTGACATTTCAGAAGAAATTATTGACATTTGGTATTTTGTTTGAGGCCTTTTGTCTCTTTTTAGGTGTGAGTTGAGAAAAATATCCCTGCAGGATGTTTAGAAAAAATGACCTGAAGATATTTTTTTCAAACTTATATAATATACCTTCATAAAGTGCAATGTATTTGATTTTTTCCCCAAAATTTAGTTTAAAAAAACTCAAGTGTCTCTGTAAGTGCCTTACAAATTCATACCTTCAACTAAATGGGTAATAAAAATGGGCCCAAGTAGTTCATTAGTATTCATTGGCCATTTCTCTGCTTTATTGATCTTTTTTTGCATAGAATCGGGCAGTAACAAAGTAGGAGCACCTGTCAGTGCTTTGATAGTTATGGCTATATATCTCAGCGTGCTAGGCTATTTAGAAGAAGTGTACTTTTTTGAAGAATGGATACCTTGAGCATACTCTGTGTATGTGTACCAGGATTGGATGCTTAAAATTGATTGTGTTACTTTAACTGTGGTAATTTAAATCATTTTTTGCTGCATTTGAAGATTCCCAAAGTCTTATTTTTTGTGTCTTTATATACTGCAAAACTAGTTATTCTTCCCAATTCCAAACTGAAAATTGATAAAGCCCCTGAAATAAAAGTACTTGGATGTTGATATCATCCTGAAATGTTAAAGAACACATGGTGGTCATAGTGAGGGTCTTGTGATTTGGAACTATATCTTAAGAATTAATTCATATGATGAAGAAAGAATCAAACCACGACAGATAAAGCAATGACTTTTTTTTTAGGAAGATTCCATTTGGTGAGAAACCATGGACAGGATACCTTACAGATGTATGTGAAGCAAGTTGGCAAGTCAAATCATTGAGACTAAACTTGATCATATGCCACCATATAGTTCCTAATAGCATAACTGTGAGAGATAACAAAGGATATAATTTTATATTTCTTGAAAAATAATATTTGAAAGAATATTTTCTGCTTTCATTTTCTGCCAACGACCATTTGAATAATTATGCTATTTATTGTATGTGAAGCAGTAATGTATACATATTGCATTATTTAGGGAATTTTAACAAACTGGAGGTGGGATACATAGGTCAAATTTACAGCCAGAAATTTGAAGAAGATGCAGTTTTAAAGCTTTTTTATGCTGACCGAGTGATTAATTTGGTTGATCCTTTGGCATGTTGACTTATTTTAATCCAATAAGAAACTGGTAGTGGTGATTTTTATGTGTAACAGGGAATCTGCGCTTGCTCCATATTTACATTTCAATGTTTTTTACTCTTATAATATTGTTTTTAGTCAAAACACATGAATATAAGAAAAAAGTCATTTTTGCCTGAGTTACCACCTTTTGATACAAATGCAAAAGAAGAACTGCCCAAGAGAATTGAATATTACTCATATATTATTCAGCATTTAATAAAAAAATGTAGCAAATGGTATACCAACACAGACACAAAGTAGTGGTAGGGATACACCAGGTGTAATTCCAGCAAGGTTGACAGTGGAAAACTAATCAGAAAACACTACTTCTTAGACTCCATGTGATGAAAATTATTAAACCTTGACATTCCATGTGCTTTCCCAAATGAAGAATTGCCATATAAAAGAAGGCTGAAATTAGCTCTGAAAGTTTAAAATTTCTACTCACTTTTTTTCACATGTTGTTCTTGAAGTAGCTTGTTGCACATATATAAGAAATTTTAAGTTACAACTTGAGAACATAAAAGGTGAGTTTTCTGTTTAGCCTAAAGTGTGGTTTGAGTAATTACTGTATTATAGTACTAAAACTTGAAGAAAAAGCAACAACCTAACTTGGTCTTCATTTAAACTTTTTTCATAAGTTGGGGCCATCGCCTAATATTCAGATACGGGACCCCAAGTGGGAATAAGTACTGCTTATGGTAAATCTATGTAACGGTAGTGCAGTGAGGCATGGGATGTTCTAGAAGGTGACGTACCTGAATCTTGAATACAGTCAGCTGAGTCTTGTTCTATTTGCTAGCCATGGCTTAATTAATATCAGTTCCACTAATAATAAAGAAGGCTGTACCATTGAAGTCAAAATAAGTTCAGGTGGACCTAATATCTTCCAAGTACCAAGACTAACACATTATAATTATATTCCAATTAGCAAGATGCTAGTGTCAGGGTATTACACGATTTGTGAAGTCTAAAAAAGATCTTTCTCTTGTGTTATACCAGGTAATTGACATCTGCTTTGCTCCTACTAATTTGTCTGCATCTGTCAGGAAAATACTGCATTGCACTCTGATACCAACTGGAACCCATCAACCTTGAAATCGAAGACAAGTTAAGAAATTGGAAAAGGTGCACACCTAAAAACTGACTGAATATGAAAGTGGGGGGAGGTGGGGAGGTGCCCAGCTGCTGCCACCAACACATTATATCAACACAACAATATGTCATATATAAGTACCTCAAAATGTGAATTTATTGATATGTTAAAAAAAAGGATGTTATAAATGTGTGAAAATAAAGCTGAAGGAAACTATGTTCATCGCAGACTTTATGGTATTATATGTTTTCCCTGAAATAAATACCAGAGGCGGATCCAGGATTATTTGAAGGGGAGGGGGGGTCTACAGATGTGAAACTGAGTCAGGACCCCCCTGACCCCCCCCCCCCTAAATCCGCCACTGACTACTACACTACTACTACTAGTATGGATAGTCATTTTTTAAATGTTTTTGATAGAATGAATAAATAAATTATTTTTTCATGTTGAAATCACTGAGGATCAGAATGACAAGTGATTACAATAACCACTTGATCTTTTTAATGGGAGGAAAATTGTGAATTTTACAGATCCTGTATTTTTTAAAACTTAATTTCTTAAAATAAGAGCATTCGTATTTAGTGGTTGCAACCAAATTAAAAAGTAGATTACCTTATTGTTCTATTCTATGCATTACAAGCACCACAAATACTATAGAAAAATATAATTTTTATGATTTTAAATTGATGTATCTGAAAGTTATATATTTTTGCCCATTTAAAAGATGGAGTCATTACCTTATTTATCTAATACAGAAAACTCCATGAAGCATAAATAAATGAAGCATAGCGGGGATGCCCTCTGTCCCTCAGATTTTAATGTGTATGTTATTATGAGCTAAAAATATTTGTATGTAATTCAAATTCTGAAATTTAAAAGCGAAGTGTAGGATTGGGTTGACTAGAGTACAGCATTTTTCCTTGATTAAAAAAGCAACATGATGGACTGGCTTCAACTTTGGCTTAGTTATATTAAGATGTCCACATACTAGTAAGTCATCTGACAGAGGATTTTTTTTAATGTATTACATTATCATATTGTAAATGCTCAATTTTATCCACATAACTTTATTTTTGCAGGGAGATGCTCTGTGTAAAGACTGCTTCTTTTGGGCATTTGAGGAAGAAGTTCACAAGACCATAATAGATGCAAACCTTTTCTCCCCTGGTGAAGTTGTGGCAATAGGAGCCTCTGGTGGAAAAGGTAAGTGAGAAAAAAACAGATAATGTAAAAAAAGATAAGTTGCTCAGACAGATTACATGGGCGTAACTAGGCANCTGAGGTAAACAATGCCTGTAACCTTAACAAGTCCTATCTTAATCGTCCGTCTAACTGAAACTTCCTTTACCTCTTAATTGGAGGGTTCAGTGGCCCTCAACTCTTCTGTACCCTCTTTCTTGAGAATATCTGGCGATATTTATCTCAGGTAAAAATCTGCCTAGTGTTATTTTCAATGAGCAGCTCCCGCAACCCTGGGGGCACTAGATAAAATCTGGACACCAGGTTTAAGAAGGAGCTAGCGAAACAAATGAAGAATTTTTCCTGCAAAGCTTCAAAGAATTTTGACACGGACTTGACCCAGCTTACCCCTCCAAACTAACAAGGTGACATGGGCAATTTTTACAAACAAATAATTAAACTTAGATGTATCAGAGCTCTGTCGTGTCGTACAATTGGTTGTTTTTGGGAGCCATGCATCCACATGTAAGGTGAATGAAACCGTATGTTAGTTCAACCAGGGAATTATATCGGATATATCGAATTATATCGGATATAATTCCCTGGTTCAACTCAGAGGTGGATCCAGGATTATTCGAAGGGGGTTCCACATATGCGAAGCTAGCCTCCTTTTAAATAAATATACCGTTCTGGGTAATAAGAATATTTGAAACTTTTTTAATTGCGAGAATATTTCTGACTAAATGATGGTTTTTTTTATTAATGGAAATTAAGCTGCGATGTGTGGTACATATGCTGTAATTACGCTGTCTCTCATCTCTTGCGTTAGTCTACATTTTGCTGGGAATTTTTAAAATCTGTGCGTACAATTTTTAAAGGTCTGGTTACGCCCCTGGATTATACTTTGCTGTACTGCTATTAAAATATGTTCCCTTTCACTTGAACAAAAGAGTTCAGGATTTGAAGGTCAACATTTAAACTGTTTTGTATGATGGAAGTGACATTATACTCACTTTTCTTAAAAAAAAAAACATGGAGGTATATAATGGAAATAAGAAATGTAATTATTATGTCAAAGTTCACTGTGGTAAATGTCACAAATCTTTGATACCGCTGACTATATCAGTGGTCATTAAGCAGAAGTGGACAAAATTATGTTCAGTATGCAGTTAAGAGTTGTGTCCTGTATAACAGTGCTGAAGAGAATGGCAGGATATATATATATATATATATATATATATATATATATATATATATATGTACTCCTATGGCCCACTCACTGGTGTTTGTGGTTACCTGTCTATTTTGTCCAGCATATTTGAAGGGTGGCATAATGCCTTGTCCTAAGGCTTAGGGGAAAGTTTGGCAACTTTTGAGGATGTTGGTTTTCACATTGCAATCATTCAAGGAACTGTCTGTCTTTAAGTTCATGCAGTGGTATCGTGTACAATGCAACGGCAACAAGCATCAACATGTGTCATATCCGTCAAACTACAGACTGTAGGATGGTATCCTCACCAGATGTGCTGTCATTTGTGCAGACTGTCAACATCTTCTTTGAGGGATGGATGAAAAATAACGCAAACAAAACTCTGAATTTCCAAATCTACAGTGTCCAAGGAGTATTTAAATTACGCTGTCTTTTTTGAGCCAACAGAGTAAGAGCAGTTACCTAATTGAGCAGTGTTAGCAGTTTCTCATCTAACACAATCTGAACAAACATAGGAACATCTTGGAAATAAAGATGAAAGTGATAACTTATATATAACTATATACAAACTGGATCTCTTGGAAATAAAGATGAAAATGATAACAATAAATAAACCAATCTCTCCTTTCCCTTTTAAAACTCCTCAATCATTTCGCCTCACAAGTGGTGGGTTTATCTGTGGTCTTTTGCTTAGGAGCCATGTTCCAGTGTTTACATCCCTCTTTCCAATGTAAGAACCTCATTTTCTTAGAGTGGTACATGTACCACGTTGAACTTTAGTAAAATGCATGTATATGTCACCCATATTGCAGCATGGCTACTTGCTGTTGATGTGACAAAGAGTATTCTAACAGTGGGTAACCTATAAAAGAAGTGAGAAAAAATGTTGACTTAACAAGATTGACAGAAAATAGTAACAGACGGAGAAATCGTGAAAAATAGTCCCACCACGGTTTCCTATCAAAATTGACACTTGTCAGAGAGGACTAGTAACGTTCACTGACAATCATCCTCATGCTTTGACAGTCGTCTATGTCCAGCACAGTGCTAGCATTTTCCCTTCTGAAAGATCTTGTTCTCCCCTTGAACTTCAACACAGGTTTTGGGAGGAAGGTCACTGGGGTTACCCCTCCTGTTTGGTCACACTGTCTCCTTAGCACAGATGCCTGCAGGCACGCACACACATGTGCACACACAAACACACACACTGTTCAGGCAATTTCTGTTTTGGCTGTGTGCCATGTACATTTACTTGCAATTGAAAAAATTTATACTTTTCAAAATTCACTTATCTCAGTAACTGATGTGTCTTTTGTTCGTTTTCTCTTAGTCCCCACTCAGTTTTAGATAATTAAGTCTTGGCATTCACACAAAATAAAGCCACTGTATGCTGTAAATACAAGTAGGAAATACTACTAGATGCACGCCAATTGATATTAAAGGTAGAAATGCTCACTTTCTTCAGAAATGTCACTTGATTGAAAATAAAATGTTTTAGCAAAGGCAGACCAACATCCCATTTTAATTATCTTCTTTTTTTTTTTTCAGATTCCACAGTACTGGCATATACATTAAAAACATTAAATGAGAGATATGACTACAAACTGGATCTCATTTTGCTATCCGTTGATGAAGGGATTACTGGCTATCGAGATGACTCACTTGAGGTTAGGTTTAAAGTTTTGATGTGAATGTTAATTGTACCTCCAGCGTAGGCTTTATTTGTTTTGTTTATTTTGGATTGTATTGATTTAAGGTTGTAATTAACAGGGGTAGCTATCTTCTAAACCGACCAAGTTGACATTTCATCTATCTAATACTGACAAATTCAGAAAAACACCCACATTTTGGCCATTTACTGTTAATTACATCCTTAATTGATTCACCTGTCTACTCTGTTACTGTTATATACATGTAGTAATTGTCCTGAAACATTATGCCAGTAATGTTTTTTGAATGCCTATCTTACACAGTTAACATTGTTTGTGGTTATGCTAATACGCATTATGCAATATTGCATTTAATCACCTCATTGTAAACACCATGAAAGAAAAACTGTTTTCATTATTCTCAATCTTACATAACTGATTTTTATCGCCATTTATTTCTACCTGGACAGTGGGATGCATTTTCTTAAGAAATGCAGATTGTTTTAGGAATTTTTTTAAGTTTTCACATGTTGGCATTATTAATATGTGATTTGGAATCCTCATGGACCCAAGATGGTAGATTTTATGGATGTCCATGCTTCCTGTTGTACGTATTTTTAAAAAACACACAGTGATTGTTGATAATTCTTTAAGTCAGCCATATTAGAGTTTACTTGGTGTGAATATGTGTATGGGCCCCTCTGTTTGGGTTGGATCAGTTTTTATCTTTATTAGATAGTGAAGGAATGTTTCATTGTTTATACTATTACTTTTTTAAAATCCTCTTCCAGACTGTCAAGAGAAACCAGCAACAATATGAGCTTCCCCTAAAAATAATCTCATATAAGGTTTGTGTCCAAGCATGCTTCAGTTAACCATTACAGCATTAATTTGCATGATTTTAAGTGTAAGGATAACTCATATGTTCATCCATCTTCACTGTAAATTAATGTATTAAACATTTGTAATGCATAAATGTTTGTTTTGCATTTGATATTACAATGAAATGTAATATTGGGTTTGATTTGCCAGTATACCCCAAATATTTAGAATTGTTATGTGAATAATGCCAATTTCTTCAATAGGAACTCTACGGATGGACAATGGATGACATTGTTAAACAAGTTGGTTTAAAAAATAATTGTAAGTACATGTTCTGTGTTTGAATGTAATGATGTCTAAGCTCAGTCTTTTCAGAGGGCAAAAGTGATCATTCTTTCAGATACATAATTTTAGAATCATGAAAAAAGTGTCTCTTCAAGTTTCTTAATTATTTTTTTTTCAGCATATTTTATACCATGTTATGCAATGGCACTTTACTTTGAAAATTGGTAGACTTGTTGTTTTCAAACTTTAAGGGATATTAGTTTGATGAATATTTCTAAATGCAGAATTTGAAAACCTGCCTGATAGGATTATAATTTTGTTTTTATTTATTGTATGCAATTTTGTGAATATTTCATTTATCACATATTGGCATTTTAATGTATGACTTACGGCTTAAAGCTGTAGCTAGTTACATTTTCTGAATGTGCATGAAAGATATATATATATATATATTTTTTTAAATAAATTGGTGATGTTATTGCTCTTAAGCATTATGTAATATACTGCATCAAAATTGACAAAAGTCCCTATTATGTGCACTATCAGGTAAACACTATTAAAAGAAAACTTTGTTTCTTTTCATTCTTAAAGTAACATATGTCATTCTAAGGACTAAAATATGGATTTAATGTGAACACCAGCCTGATTGGATTTTTTTCTTGAAGTTAAACATTTTTGGGTGATTGAAGTGTGACTTTGAAATCCCATTGGCTATAGTCTTAGTTACATTATTTTTGTTACAGTTACATTTAAATGCCCATATTACCTGTAGTAAATAATTAAAATTGATGGTGACTATGCTGTGAAGCATTATGTGATATTGCTTCAAAATTGACAAAAAAACTTTTTTGCACACCTGTGAACAAACAAAATAATTATTTTGTTCTTTTAACAAAATAATAGGAAAAAATTACTTATAATTTTCAAACTAAGAAATGATTTTTAAGACTAAAATGCAGCTTGGATTGGAAAACCAGCCCAATTGTATAAGTTTTTTCAATTTGTTTGTGTGATATGTTCATTTTTCACATATTGACATTTTCATTAAATTTGACTTGGACTCTCATGGGCCTGCTCCTAAAATATTCTTAATATCCAGTTACCTGTGTGTATAATTAAAATTTGGTGTTGATTTTGCTATTAAGCATTATGTAATATTACATCAATATTGACAAAAATAGCCATTTGGTGCATGATCATCATCATTATTATTATTATTTTGCTTTATTAAAGGTACCTTTTGTGGTGTATTCCGTCGACAGGCATTAGACAGGGGTGCAATGTTATTGAAAGTTGACAAGATTGTGACTGGACATAATGCTGATGATATTGCTGAAACTGTTATCATGAACAGTAAGTATGTTCACACTAAAGCTTAAAAATAATGACAGTTATTTTGCAAGAATCACATGTTCTGTGGCACATGAATGGTTATATTGTTATTTTGAAATCTGGGTATACTGGTAAGTGATTCATGCACTTTGGTGCCAGTATTCTGTGCCATTTCATTAGATATCCAGACCTGTAGCGCTTGGGTGGCTGGGGGCAGGGTGGGGTGTTGGGGTGCAGGGATTGGAATAAACAGCCCTGTTCTCTGGAAAAAAAGGTCCACTCTGGACCAAAATTTGATCTAGATTCTTTGTCATTTTCAAATTTTGTATATAAATTGTTGCTGCATATTGTTCTCTGTTGCAGTGGCATTTGAATATTGATCTGGTCAATTGTGTGGATGTTTTCCTTTCTCCCTATTTGAGATATTATGTAATCACATATTTGTATTTTACACAGGGTTCAACCTGCATACGAATGTTGTCATGTGTGTTTAGTATTCATTTCTGCCATAGAAAATGCCTGTTAATTGATTGTTAATTAATTAATTTTGAGATTCAATACAGGGATATACGTGCATGTAGAAACTACATGAAGTACATAAGCTTGTATTTCCAAAATGGTGGATTTACCAACGGAAGTAACATTTTCATTGACTTTTATATCCCATGGAACTAAATCACTTACTAGTTTTTATTATTATATTTTAAAAAATTTAACCAATCTTAACTATTTTATAAAAAAAAATTTAAAAACTTACTTTTGAGGTTTGTTTCATTCTTTCAGTATTGCGAGGTGACATAGCTAGGCTTAAGCGATGCACAGCAATTACAACAGTAAGTAACAAGTATTCATGAGTTGCCTCATTCTTTGATGATTAGATGCTAGCGTGCATGTTTTCATACAATGATCCTCATTTATCCTCGATTTCCTCAATTTTTATTATTACCTTAAGAATTATTCAAAAGCATATGCTGATTATATTGGGCTTGTAACATAATCCTACTGGTACTAATTTATCTTTTCAACAATCTTCTAATTGATTATTAACTGTTTGGATGAAAAGACATTCTAATATTTTCATTTCTAAACAAACCAGTTCATACAGGCATTTATAATAATCATTGAACACAAGCTGAAACTCAAAAACTCTTGAACGACAACATGTTACGAGAATATGATCTCATAAAATATCTTTATGATCTTTATTTTGGACACAACAAATAGTGTGCATGTGCTCTCACAAAATTGGAGTTCTTGTATGACATACATGTATATGTACCTCTCATTTGTATGAGATACTCTATAGAATTCTAATCACATTTCAATCCAATTTCATTTTATTTTAAAATTATAGCTGTCATCTTACAGTAATGGTGTTTCTGAATGCTAACAGCACACATTTCAGAATACAATATCAACACTGTTTACAGTTAAGTAGGCTTCACCCTTTTCAACAGAAAAAACAAAGCCACTCTCCTGACCTCTTTTTGCCATTCCTGCACATGAAGGATAGAGGGCTAGCTGGTGCATGTGTAAATAACACTTGTAGCCTCGTTCCCTCATGAAGGTGTCTTGGGACATATAGACAGTGAAATGTTGCAGTGGTTATAACATGTTTTTAAACGTTTTTCAGGGTGCAGATGGAGCCTTGCCAAGATGCAAGCCATTCAAATACACATATGAAAAAGAAATAGTCATGTGAGTTTTTAAATGAAAATTTGAATGATATTTATTGAGACAATTATTAGAAAGAATAAATTCATTATTTCTTAAAATGTTGCAAATAGTTCTCTCATTGTTGCTTACAAATGATTTTATGACAATTCCCCATTGGACAATTCACCAAGACAATTCTCCCTCAAACCCCCCCCCCCCTTTCCCAGGACAGAACATAGACTGCTTTTGAATTATCTTTCTAAGGAATTAATACATTTCTTGGCTATTTTACTGATAATAAGAAAGAAAGCGCTAACATGAACTCTTAGGCTTCGTTCACATGGAAAGTCTATTTTCTAAAAATCATAAGATACCGCGAATAGAAAATAGATATTTAGAAAATAGACTTTCCATGTGAACGAAGCCTTATACCACATTCACAAAGCCATCTCAAAAATCTGGATTTTTCAAATTCAAATTTCTGGTGAAAAATGCAATTTGCTTGCTTGAATATAAAAAATGAACATCTATGAACATATAAAAAATGACCATCTTTTATCCTCAAGTCATTGTTAGATTCTTCTTTCAATCAACACTACATTTAAGAATAAAGCAATCAAAATATTGATCACAAGCAATGATTGACCACTTATTGCCTTTCATTTTCAAACTGGCACCTTCTCTACCCAGTTACAAAATTTCACAGTTGTCACCTTACTACAACTAAAGAAATGTAGCAATGTATTTCAGAACTTCTGTAAAACACATTTTCACGAATATTTGACAATATCATTTTGACATTAATTTTTATTTTGTAGGTATGCATATTTTAAGAAGTTGGACTATTTTTCAACGGAATGCATTTACTCACCAAATGCATACAGGTAAGTTAGGCTCCATAAGAGTTTTTCAACCCTTTCTTGCAAATGTACTTCTTTATTGACTGTTGAAAATAAGAAAGTTTATACCCCCTTTATGCTGGAAGGCATCCTTGAAACTGGCCAATGGACGCTCAGAGTGATGCTAAGATAGCATACATGTACAGAGCATTCAAACATCACAGATGATGCTGTCAGGCCGTATAAATGGATTAGGCATTTACTAACACTTCTCTGCAGGTCTTAAGCACTAACACTCATATTAACCTCAAAACCCACTCATTTCTCCATTTCAAAGTAAGATCTAGTATTAGAATTAATTTTCTCATTATCTTAAGAGGTAATTATATAAATGACTTTGGGAAATTTTGATGCATATAGTGTATCTTTAAAGAATAAGTAATTGAGCATAAACTTCTTTTTCAACAGAGGACATGCAAGAACTTACATCAAGGATCTAGAGGCAATTAGACCCAGTTCTATCATTGGTTAGTAAATATGTTAGATTGAAAACTGTCAGTATGATTGTTTTAATCATCTTCTTGAGATATTCAGATAAAATAAGAAGCTGAAGTTGATTAACATGACTTTGGTAGTGGATATGCACATGCTTTATAGATATGATATTTAAGCCAGAAAATACTAAATATTATCAGAAACAATGTCATTTTTCAGACATAATTCATTCTGGAGAATGCATGGCAGTGAAGAAGGAAGTCAAATTACCAGTTCAAGGTATAATGTTTTTACAGAAATTACAATGTCCTGGTATTGAAATCATTTTATAAATTTTATATAGCAGGCCGTAAGACTAAGTGTATGGTTTTAATTGTTATCTTGCAAAAAAGAATAGGTCTATTTGAATGTTGCTAAATATAAAGATAGGAATACAATTATTTGTTTCTGAATGAATGTTGTTATTCAAAATGTAATTTAAATGTTATTTAACAAATAACACTCCACTATAAAAATGACATGTTATTTACTTCTTCATGTTAATTAAACTACTAATTTGTAGATTTTAAAGAACAAAAATTTTTTTAAAGAAAGTTAATTGATAGATAATCCTGTACTTCTTTATTGTAGGCACTTGTTCCAGGTGTGGTTACATTTCTAGTCAAGAGGTGTGCAAGGCATGTGTACTTTTGGAAGGTCTTAACAAAGGGTTGCCAAAGTAAGTGAACCCAGTTTGGATCTACTTGTTTTTGTACGTGCAGGAATTGCTTTTTTTTTTTTTTTTTTGAAATATTAAAAGAATTAAATATTGTCTGGGGGTAGGGACTTTGATTCACATTGTAATGTAAGCATATATAGTCTTTAATGGTTATCTGGTTTAAATGTATTGTGGGTTAAATCTATACTGTATTTATTTTCAATTTATATTTGGTTTTATAGCAGAGAAGTGCATTTTGCAAAGATAAAGTAGTCACAATATGATTTGTAACATAAACAGTCTATTTTAATATTTTTGTTTATTCTAATTAAATTTTTTTTTTCTTTTTTGGTAGGCTTGGTATTGGAAAACCACACAAAGTAAAAAAGGTATATTTAGTTACTGAAAAAAAAAAGAATTTTCATGGCATTACACATTAATTTTCTTTTAAATCTGCCGACAGTGTTAAAATTCATGTTTTATCATTGCACCACCAGTGTGAGTGTGGGGGGAGAACACATGGTTTAACCTCCAACAGGTCTTGTATGCTACATCTTGGTACATGCACTAGCAGGGCAATAGGCCTACCAGTAGCAGTACTATGACACAAAAACCATGCTCATGCATAACAATAATGTGAACAATTTTGATAGCATACATTTCATGTCCAAACACTCGCAGTTGCAGTAAGATCCAGTTACATCCAGTGATTCAGTCCAACATTTTACTTATATTCTTATACATTTTATGCAATAACATGTATATATCAACAATTATAGTGAAAATGATACAGTGCATGTACAATGTAAGAAAATTCTTCTTTTTCAGCTGGAAGCTCAAGGCAAAATTTTCACGGATACTAAGAATCCAAAGTTTGTTGAAAATCGAGATGCTGACAAAGGATCAATGGCCAATAATGCAGCAGCACTGGACTTTTGAATTTGGCTTCATTTGTTGCATTTTAAGTGGTTTACACATGTACACCTAGTTGATAATTTTTCTTCTGTTCCTATGCTCATCTTGTATAAATAAGATGCTATAAATTATGTTTGCCTGATGCAGTGGCCCAAGGATATGACAGCACCATTGCTCCGTAAAAAAATTATTTTAATGTTATGGTAAAGCATAAAGGCAAAGGTTTTCATGTGTAATGATGGTGCTAAATGTGTGCTTACCTAGATGAAATTAAGACTGATTTTATTAGAAAAAAAATGCAGATTTTTAAATAAATTCATTGATTAGAGGCAATTGACCTGGATTTTCATTCCAGGTGAAATGACCCTAGTCATTTACTCCCATTTTATTTAATATCTCAGATTTTAGGTTGAATACTGGATAATTAAATGTAGCTACAAATAAGTTACAAGAAAATTATCAACATGCAGTTACAAAATGTATCTTTAGAAAATCATTATTGAGCATTTTCTCAGAAAAAGTGATAATAATATTATTTTTACGAAGCTCTCGAGTCTGGCTTTTGAGATAAAATGAGGTGTGAAACACAGTGTAGCCATATGCAGTCTTCATAATGTTAGTAACAAATATTTAAGCCAAAAATCTTAAAATACTGCACTATTATGCTTTTATTACCTCCGCCAAGGAGGTTATATTTTCACCCCTGTTTGTTTGTCTGTCTGTCTGTTTGTCATCAACATAAATCAAAAAGTTATGGATGAATTTCACTGGAAATTTCAGGGTAGGTCAGAAATGGGTTAACTTAGAAGTGATTAGTTTTTGGTGGTAACCTGGATCAATAATCAAAAATCAAAAAACTAAATCATTACAGAATGAAAATTAAAGGGTGAAATGGCATTGAATGGAGACTTTGCTGCCTTGGCAGAGGTCTTCGCTCTCTCAGTGCTTTTCTAGTTCAGGTATGAGATTCTTCTGTATATCTGCGTACATCTGACTTTTTTGGGAGTTATGACATTATTCAGAATATCGACAGATTTCTGACTATTTGGGAGTTAAAAAGTCTATTCTGAATTATTTTTTGGTACATGTATGAGGAACAGATTCCTTATTTTTCCACACCTTTATTATTTTTTATGTTTATCTAAGGCCACACTTTTTTATTTTTATNCCGGCAAATTCAATAACTTCGTTGGGGGGGGGGGGGGTTTTTTTTTTTTTTTGAGAACGGGCGAAAATCCGTGCGCGCGCAGGATGTCATCCATAAAATTAAAAAAGTGTGGCCTAATCAATGAACCAGTATTATACAGATTACAGCAGAATAAAAAGAATCCCTTTACTCAACGTCTTATATAAAAAAAGGTCTCATGACCTGAGCTCTGTTGGCTGGAACTTTGATGGCAAACTTATACAATGTCACAAGATATAAATTAGAATGCATGTTACAGTACAACAGTTGAACACATTTATTTAGTTTTGAAAGATACCTTCAAGACTTTCCGCTTTTAAATAATAAATCAATGACAAAAAATAATTTAATTTTTTTATAGTGAGAAAAGGGGAAACTTACATGAGATAATTCTGATTGGATGGACAGTTTTGAGTGACATCATGAGTGTCAGGTGTGTTGTAATGATAACACAGACAATTGACCAAAAATTGAGGTGTCATAAAAGCAATATGCCGCACACTTGTGAAAAACACAGCAATTTATTGTACCACCAGCATAGGTACTGGCAGTGCCCATGGTTTTAATCCCAACCAATCTCATCCACCATATCTCCGTTGCCATGTTATCATTATTGCTTTTCCTCAACACAATAAAGGCCTGTACATATCTCCATCTCTTGGATTTAGGTCACACATAATCTCAACTCGATACATGTACATTTTGCACTCTGTCAGTCCACTGGTCTAGATATGGCATTTGTCACAATGCACCCTTGCTAATTATATATAAATATCTCCAAAATGGAAGGAATTATGGGAAGAGTTCAGATAGAAGTCTGACCAAAAGTCATATGTGGAGGTTCCAAATGTGCCCTTGGATTTGACTTTTGACCTTTATTTTAAGGTCAAATGGGCCAAAATTTTCTAACAATGGGAATTTTCTGCAAAATAGTTTGTGCCAGTTTTTAGAAACTACACAGACCTAAGCTCTCAATTTGTATGTTCAATGTAGATTTTAAAATATTTCATACCTCTGGTTCTTTGTACCTTGCTTCTCTATGATACCAAATTATCTGTTCATGTTCTTGGGTCATGTCAAGTGACTTCCTAAGTACAACAAGAATTGCCATAAAAAAGGGAAAAAACTCCATAGATAGCTGTACTCCGTAATAATCTCTAATATATATATATATATATATATATATATATATATATATATATATATATATATATTTTTTTTTTTTTTTAACTTTTTAGAAAAAAAAAACCGGGACTAACTTTCAGGGGCTAACTTTGAATGTAGAAATGGATTTATTAACCATTGGTTATTATGTAAAAATTGTCGTTTACTCCAGGAAATTCATTTTTTGGCCAAAGTTAACAGTTGTTATCCTGTTAACTATCATTGATAACAAGGCAGCAATAATACATTATGCTTAACTGCAAAGTCAATATCAAATTTTAATTATACACAACAGGTAATATCACTAAGTAAAATGTGTAACAAGAAAAAGGCTTCAGGCCCATGAGAGTTCAAGTTCACACTTTGAAAATGCCAGAATGAGAAAAATGAGAATTTCACAAAAAAATGCATAAATTCAATAAAAAATTATAATCCAATATAGTGGGTTTTCTAATTTTAGCTGTATGTCAATCCTAAGAATCATTCTTGTAAGTTAAAAAGTAATAAGTAAAAGAGTTTTCTTTTTGTAACATTTGTGGTGGCAGTGCACAAAGTAGGTTTTTTTTGTGAATTTTGATTCAATATTACATAATGATTAATGGTATAATTACCACCAATTTTTTATTATCTTGATGCAATTTTACACAATGTTTAACAGCATAATCAACACCAATCTTCAGGCCCATGGAACTTCAAAGTCATACCATGAAAATACCAAAATGTAAACAAGAGAAAACTATACTGAAATGAGTCAATTTCCATTTTCAACACTTTTTTCTTCTTCTTCATCATGTACCATCACCGATGCGGTGTGTGACGAACGTTGCTGTTTCTCGCCCATGACCAAAGGTGTCTTGTTGGTAAATCAAAATTATCAAGGAAGGTCTTTCGTTGTCTTCCTCGGGCACTTTTGCCAAGTATTCTACCACTAAGGCTAAAATTCTCCAATCCCTCTTTTCTGGTGGAATGTCCCAAGAACTTCTGGCAGTGACCTCTTCATTGGTAACTTGATCAATGTAGGAGATTCGGAGCATTCGCTTGTATATAGAACCACATTTCAGCTGCTTCAGTGTTACGTTGAGTTTCTGCTGTCAAAGTCCAAGACTCACAGGCATACAGAAGAGTAGACCAGACAGGTTTTTAGGAGGCGGATCTTTATCTTAAAGGACAGCCCACGATCCTTGAAGATTGGACCGAGATGGGTGAATGCATTTTTTGCTTGACCAATTCTTCTTTAGAATTATATCTTGCAACAGGTGTTGGATGTCCCAAGGGCCCCGAGATAGTTGAATGAAGAGACCTGGTCGATGGGAATGTTCGCGTGAAGCAATCTGCAAATTGGTGTGACTTCTGACATTTTTTTACATAAGATAAAATAACCCATTTACTTTAATTTTTGTATGACCAACTAAATTTACTGTCATTTTTATATGATGATATAATTGATATTAATTGAATCTGTGGAAAAACAACTTTTATACAAAAAAGGCATTACTTCATGAAAACTGAAGCGATCAAGCTTATTTTCGATCTTGATCTGTATATTACTCCTTTAAATCTGTCCCAGTGGCGGATTTATAGGGGGGTCAGGGGGGTCCCGACCCACCCTTCGGTTTCTGAAAAATATATCACACCAATATTCCCTTCTTGAAATTAGAATTTTGACTAGCTAAATCATAGTTCTAAACCGTACCAAAGGGCATTGTTTGCTCTCCAAAACACCAATTTTTTTGTCGGGACCGTTGAGCAAGCCCCAAACCCCACACCAAGGGGGCGATTGTCGGCTTCGCATCCGAGGCCTGTCGTTCCGGACCCCCTCCCCCCAGCTGATAATCCTGGATCCGCCCCTGCCCTCGCCCCTTCACCTAACCCCAGCAGCTGAAATCGCAAAAACAACTGCACTGTGAGGGCGTTCTGAACTACTTTATCCACGCTTTACTGCAGTAAAATAAACTAACAAAATAGTTACAAGAGCGAAATAGCGGTTTGTTTGTTAAATAGGGATAGAAAAATATTTTTGTTTGCAGTTATATTTTTGTCTCCCATCCACTTATTTACGGCTTATTATCATAGCTCCTTGCTAACATTTAGCCCCGCAAAAATTAAACCTCTTACCTCAACCACAAAACGAATATCACCTTTAATGAAGATGAATTAGTATCGTGTTACTTATTTATTTATTTATTTATTTATTTATTATTTTGCAGAAAGTAGACTTTAACAGTAAAAGAATCTGTCAATATTCCATACATAATGCAAATACATTTATTCTTCCTTCTTCCACGCACATACCGGGGCACATAGTTGTACCATAATTTTGAAATGACCCATGCGCTACCTCCAGAATAACGTCAAATGTCATATTTCTTTACTATAAACCTGTTTTTAAATTGGTTTCTGTTGCTAAATTCTTCTTTTTAAAAATAGCTTGTAATCTAGAGTGTAGTATTAGATACGCTGAACATGCTGTATATATTCTCTTCAAATATTTTGCAAGTTAATTACAAACTTCTGATTTTAATTAGCGCTTTCTTTCGGCGTACTCACTGTTTCACAGCGAGAGAAATCATAGTGCGCGATGATTGACGTTTGTTTATATAATCTGCCAATCAAGCTGTTATTATTTGACAGCAACTATCAAAACTAACTGAATTTGATTGGCACCTTGTCAATCAAAGGATGTAGGAAGCTTGAACTAAACGTTTTCGACGACTATAGTGATCCACTGTGATGATTGTAATTGACGTTTGTTTATATAACCTGCCAATCAAACTGATTTTACTTGACAGCAACTATCAAAACTAATGAATTTGATTGGCACCTTGTCAATCAAAGGT